AGACCAACGTCTTACTACCATATATCATTCTATAACTCAAACAGTAAGGGTCGTAATACCCTTTTGCTATTGTTTTTTTAATCAACCAACTGTCCTAACTGAAATAATTAAGTGGCTATCACATTAATATACTACATATATATCGTGCCATGAAACACCACATCCTATCAGTCAAGTAGCCATCCTAACTATAATAACTAATCCCAATAATAAGGCGGTTATCATTAGAGTCTCAACTGAACATCAGAGTAGATGGTTTGCTCTTGTGCTTTCTCATCTGACTCCTCACAAGTAGTATTTTATCCTCCTCAGCTGAAATCAGATCACAAAACACGGTATTTTCATCTTCAGAGACAATTTGCTTATTCACCTCTGATTCCTGGTGTAACCACATCTCCAGAGATTCATAAGTAACTCAGAGTTTAAGCTTATTGACTTGTTTGCTTCATGCTGAGTGACCATTGTAACTCATAATTCACTCTATTTTGCTGCTAACAGAAAAATAGACCAGTATTGCCTGAATTGAGTTGCTTCCACACTGTAGACACACATCACAACCATAACTAATAACCAGGCTTGAATTTTATTTCCACTACTTTTTGTTATAGCATCTCTTTTGACCGCATATCTTTTGGCCTATTTTGGAGTGAATACTGTGTCTCTTTAAACATATTTTAAGTTCTGGCAATTTTGAATTGAACTTTATCTCTTTAAACAGTTGTGTTTATTCACTCATTAGTAATGTGTTCAAAGTCACTATTCTTATACTTAATCCTGAAATCATATAGTTAGTTTAAATTTGTATCTTATCCACGTATCAAAAGTTTCTAATTAGTTTCAAGTAACCACTTTCTTTATTTTTAATTGTTTTGACTTATAATCAAACTAACGTACATCTGTCTTTGGACCTAATGCTAATTCATTTTCAACATTAAATAACTAAGTTATATAGAATGAAACAACCGAAAGACAGTTATCCCTTTCTCACACAATTCTGATATTTCATCATGTATTCCCGACATGGCCAGGTGGTTAGGGCGCTCGACTCGCAATCTGAGGGTAGCTGGTTCGAATCCCCGTCCCACCAAACATGCTCGCCCTTTCAGCCGTGGGGGCGTTATTATGTGATGGTCAATCCCACTATTCGTTGGTAAAAGAGTAGCCCAAGAGTTAGCGGTGATGACTAGCTGCCTTTTCTCTAGTCTTACACTGCTAAATTAGGGACCGCTAACGCAGATAGCCCTCGTGTAGCTTTGCGCGAAATTCAAAAACAAACAAAATCCTCTACATGAAACACAATTACACGATTCCGTTATTAGTTATTCATTTGAGTTTGCAAGGGTATAATCTTATATAATGTAAAAAATCTATACGTTGCTTTGAGAGGTGTCCCAATATAGATTTTTAAAGTGTTTACATCTCTATAGCTGCTGTTTTAGTAGCTCTGCCAAAACTACAAGTACAAGCGCTGTCGTTACATAAGTCCAAGTGTAATACATATAAATTTGTTGAGTAGCTTTATCTTTCATCAAACATATGTACTAATTGTCTGAGTGATACAAAACACTGACTCAACTTTTTATCTCCCATTACGACAGATCTGACTAGTTCCGTTCAACAACATTACGTTGAGTACCAGTACGATAATCTGGCTAGTTCCGTTCAACAACGTTACGCTGAGTACCAGTACGATAGATCTGGCTAGTTCCGTTCAACAACGTTACGCTGAGTACCAGTACGATAGATCTGGCTAGTTCCGTTCAACAATGTTACGCTGAGTACCAGTACGATAGATCTGGCTAGTTCCGTTCAACAATTTTCTATGGCAAACGCCAATTGCTATAAATATTTTTGAATCCTAAATGCTCAAAATTATCATTCCTACACTAGTATTACATATTCCTTTCTGCTCTTATCTTAAATATACCAGTTCATTGGTGATATTTACTACTTGTTACTCTTTTTATTGTTGACTCTAACGTTTAATTTAGTGGATTCATTATAATTGCTCGCTCACCTAACAAATGTGTTGTTTGTTTGTAATTAAGCACAAAGCTGTACAATGGGCTATCAGTGCTCTGCCCACCACGGGTATCGAAACCCGGATTCTAGCGTTGTAAGTCCACAGACATACCGCTGTGGGCAACAAATGTATCATCTCATCGAGTTATTTTGTACATTCTTATGTGTCTTCATAGACACTTCAAATACGATTGGTGAGAACTGCTTATTTCTATTGTTTCTGGTATTTTTATATGAAGTTTGATACAGTGCAGGTAGACTAAACTATCATACATTTCTTGCAAACACAAATGTGATCTACTATTTTGAGTTATACACTGTATATTACATATAGAGGTATTAACATCAAATGTACCCTAATTATTAATACTGGTTATATCTTAATATATTGTTTCTAAAATATGTAAAAATGTAGTTTTGTCTGACAAATAACCAAGACTTGCAACTTAAGATGTTTTACTAAAATAAAAATCAATTGGAACAATACTGTTTCTGTATTGCTGGTATGTATGCAAGAAGCATAGACTCATCGTGGCACCACTGCTTATATTCAGGCCTAACATAACTAAGTGTATGGTTGGTATTTACTCACCACCATAAATCTATAATACATACATTTGAAGAATAGGTAGCATTAATATTATTAATGTATTCATCTAAATTAGTAAGCAGGCAAATTGTTTAAAGAAAATTTTTCTCAATATCATGAATTAATTTTATCTTGGAACTTTGTAAGCTTGATGTTGTGTAGCGTCATTATTGGAGTTACATTTTCTGGGAGGGTGTATATTCATTAATGTTTCTACCTTGGTTTCAGTTGCATTTGTACATCATTTTGTAAAGAATTCTATGAATAACTTGAAAACACACTGCATAGTAGTTAAAAAATTATTTACTGAAACGTTATTGTATAAACATTTCTAACGGATAAATGCTGTTTAGTTACAAACAAAACTGTGGTTCTTGTTTGTAGATTAATAGTTATCAAAGCTGACACAATTGTAACATAACACAACAACAGATGCAAAGGGGTAACTTAACTCTTACAATTTGTCAAATATATATAAATGTAGTCATATTTAAGAAATTTAACTTTTAAATCATAATACAAAAAGCACCATCAATTTACAGAATTATTCTAATTTCATATATAGTTACTAACAGAGATAAATTTATTTTGTTACAAAAAACATATGTACCATTTACTCCAACGTTAATATGTACATTCAGCAAACTGTGAAATTTCTTTTTGGGGTTTGTAACTGTTTGGTTGTAAGTTGAAGTACTAGGCTTGACTATAACACTGGTAATTTAGTGAAATACAATTATGTAACCTTAAAATACTGTATGTGTAAGTGGTAAGTTTGTGGTTTTACAAATCTATGACGGACAGACAAAAAATATTTAAACGTTTTTTAAAAACCAGACATATGACAAACTTCAGTAAAGAAGTGTTTTCATTTTTTGCTGTTCTACCGTGTGATATCACCACAACATGAATGGCAAATAATTACTGTATTAGATTCGATGACGAGGAACCCACTTTGAGACTACTAATGGCTGGAGACGGCTTGAATGGGTAATGAAGAAAAACTTTAATATAACAGCAAATGTACAAC